CCCCCCCAAGATCTACACCCTATCTGTTCCATTCTAGGACACATACGACGACATCTCGAACCTGACTACTCCATGTGCAGAAAGTGCTATAACTACCAGTTACTACCAGTGAAAACCGGCTTCTCTGCAGAACAGCTTTTTGCTGATCGCGTGTCTTCAAACTCTTTACACAGAGCATGTTGCACACCAGGATCTGGTTACCGACAACGATCGCAAGTAGAAGTGACTATGAACGAACCGAAGCCAGATTAGTGGAATGGCTGAGACGCAAGGAAGGATGAACATGATGAACATCTGTATCGTACAACTTGTACAATGCAACGCTGCAAGAGGTCCCAAAGTCCTGGGGAGCTGTATTGTCCTTTTAATTTGGATTTGTTAGAAGCCAAATATTTCGGGACAGCACAGCACTTTGAAAACAGAATTTGGGACAGTACAGGACTTTTGAAGTCGCTGCTGTACTGTCCCGAAAATTTGGTTGCTGGAGGAGCCGAGCACTTTTGAAATCCCAGGGCCCCCCTCAAGTGCTGTACTGTCCCTAGAATTTGGCTTCTAGAGGGGCAGAATTTGGGGACAGTACAGCGCATTTGAAGTCCCAGGGCCCTCAAGTGCTGCACTCCCTAAAAATTGGCTTGCCCTAGCCTAAAGTGTTGTCCCCCAAAAAACTTGTCCTCCAGCAACCTCTGGGCCGTCCGAACTGAAGATCTCTGGAGAATAGGCTTTGTAAGTTTCTTTTAGGGACAGTACAAAGACTTTTGGTGTCCAAAGCCCAAAATTTAGGCAAGACTCTACAGCGCTGTGCTGTCCCCAATAATTGGCCTCTGAGGACGCAACATTTAAGCACTTTAGAGCTCTAGCCTCAACAGTGCCGCACTGTCCTTAAAATTCAGCCTCTAGAAAACCAGAATTCAGGGACAGCACAGCACTTTTTGAAGGATCCCAGGGCTCTAAAGTGCTGTACTGTCCTTAAAATTTGGCGGCCTCTGGAGACGCAGCATTTCGGGACAGTACCACACTCTGCAAGCTCCAATGCTCTAAAGGGTTGTTCTGTTGGTTTCGGGAGGTGATTTGGGGCTGAGTTTGGTGTCTTGGCTGGAGCCACAAACGTTGCAGCGCGTATGGTCGGAGCTGGTTACTGTTACATTATGCAGATGACCGCGAGTGAGACAGGTGCTCAAGTCATATGCAGCAGAACTGTTGGATGCACATGTGTTTTGCGTGTGGAACCTGTTTTGCCTTTGTTGACTCCAAAGAGCAGAAGCTTTCTTACTTCATGTTCAACGAGAAAAGAAAGAGTAGCTCTCTGAGAAGCAGAGCTCCTGTGGACATCCGAGAGCTCGTTTTTCAGGCACAGCCGGGGAGTTGTTACTTTGGCAAACAGAAATACGAAAATACTTCTCACCGGAGAGCTTTCTATCTGACAATGAAAGCACGGCAGTTCTCTTTGTGAAAAGAAAAGAATCTTGCAAGCAGGACCAAGGAAGCTCCTTTGTGAAGGGGCCGGATCTCCACTCGTCTTCCCACAAGGTATCGGTCAACTCCCTTAGGTGCGCTGTTTACTTGTCGTCCAAACACATGAAGGGCTTTCTGTTTTCGCTCCCCACTCCCGCAAGTATACGCAAGTATAAGGATAGTGAATTTCTTCTCTTGGTTATCGTCATGAGATAGAGACGTTGCTGTTGAAAGATGGAGAAGTAGAACAAAAAGGGGGCCAGACGTAGATCTTGGGGGGGGGGGG